ATTTAATGTAAAATTTGAAAAAAAAATAGGTGGATGATGAAATTAAAAATAATTTTGGGAAAAAAAATGAAAATTTGGGTTCGGGAGGTGTTTTCGAAAAAAAAATTAGAAACTGGGGGTCAAAAAATAATTTTAAAAAAATGCACTACATATGACCACCTAGTCAGTAGCCTCGACGAACTGAAGCACGCCACATGACAAGTCACGCTTACTCGGTGTCACACGGGAGGTCACGTTGGCAATCTGCATACCCGCGATCAGACGGTTCAGATTTGTTCCCGCACGCGTAGATAGTCTGGATATGTTCCATCATCAGGCGCAATTGGACGGTCACGATTAAACGCGATGAACATTCCAAATTTGTTCTCTCTTTAAATGCGATGTTCGATCTAGATCAAATCGTGATGAACGGTTCAGATTCATTTTTTCTTTAAATGCGATCGAATGATCGAGATCAAATGCAATGAACAGTTCAGACTAAAGGGAGATGAGATCTCATTTCACACTGAACCCTAACCCTAACTACCAGCCCTCCCCGCCGTAGAAGAAGAACCAGTCGTTGGATAAGGGAGCCGACCATCGCCTGCCATCGCACCGAAACCACCTCCGACTGCCAAAAAAAGGTTAAAAAATTTTTATTCGCTTGAAATTTTATTTTGAATACCTTCATGGTCAAATTGGAGCAAAAGGACTGGTGGATGAGCTAGAAACCGCAAGTAAAGCCCGGCAATACTGCTGCAAAAAAAAATAAAAAAATCACCTCCGATGAGTTCCTTTCCGATTTCTTTCGTGCAATTTTTCTACCATTGTATTCATTATTTTGTTTTCTATAGGTTGAACAAAGAAAAATGGGCAACCGCGAAGGTGAGCCGGCGGAGTCGCCGCACCGAAAAATCCTACCGCCATGAGTTTTTATTTTTTGACTTTTTTCAGCCAACCGAGATCTCTTACCGTATTTTATATAGTGATGAGTATAAACTGGTCGAAATCGGCTAAAACTAGCCGAAAACGGCCAGTCCGAGGTAAACTGCCATCATGGGCAGCGGTGTCATTGCCGGAGCAGGGCGGTGCCACTGTACCGGAATTTCAAAATTGGCTATAAAAGATTTTTAACACCGATTTTTGATTTTTTAGGCTATTTCTAGGTATTTGAAGTGTGTTTTAATTTTCGAAGAAAAATTCAAAAAATTCAGAGACTGCTAGTAGGCGTAGCTGAAAGTTTAATGTTTCGGACACCGATTCGGGTAAGAATTCCTCACCTTATTCTCTGTTATGCAATTAAATTTTAATTATAGATAATACTGTATTTTGCATAATTTAAAAAATTTTGATAATTAATTACAGGTTATTAATGGAGTCGAAACCGGTTATTTTTTACTATTTATCTTATTTTAACTGATTGATTGATTTTACAATTTTGAATGTATAATAATACATTGGAGTTAGTAAGATAATTTAATTGTGTTTCCTTTATGCATGTATTACTTGTTTTGTGTGATTTACAGTTAAATTGTGAAACTGAAAATTAAATGTAAACGAAAAATTGCTTAATTAAGTGAATGAATGAATGATAGCCTTACTGGATATTTTAGGAGATGGTGGACGGACCGGGTACATAAAAAATTCTACCGTGAATGTTGCCTCATACCGAACGGGATATCGAGAATTGGTATTTTAGCGCTCATACCGGATGGGGTATGGAGACGGCTCGTTTCACCCTCATACCGGATGAAGTATTGAGAGATGATATTTTTGGTACTCATACCAAACGGGGTATGGGGACGGCCTGTTAGTTGACAATGTTGAATAAGGATTCATCCTTTACGCATGTGTTACTTGTTTTGTGTGATTTACAGTTAAATTGTGAAACTGAAAATTAAATATAAACGAAAAATTGCTTAATTAAGTGAATGAATAAATGATAGCCTTACTAGATATCTTGAGAGATGGTGGACGGACCGGGTACATAAAAAATCATACTGTGAATGTTGCCTCATACCGGACGGGGTATCGATGATTGGTATTTCAACGCTCATACCGGACGGGGTATAGGGACGACTCATTTCACCCTTATACCAGACGGGGTATGGGGACGACTCGTTCACCCTCATACCGGATGGAGTATTGAAAGATGATATTTTTGGCACTCATACTAGATGGAATATGGGGACGGCCGGTTAATTGACAATGTTGAATAAAGGTTCATCCTTTATGCATGTATTACTTATTTTGTGTGATTTACAGTTAAATTATTAAACTGAAAATTAAATATAACGAAAAATTGCTTAATTAAGTGAATGA